TAGTCAAACTTTTTTCTACCTTATACTAATTTTATTATTAGGTAACTTTTTTTTTAGCGATGGAGAGCCTTTGAAGATGGTCGGATCCCTTATATATATGTCAGATTTCCCTTCGGATTCAAGGAATCTTTGAAAAATAAATAAGTAACTTCAATATTTTGACTCACTATCTAAGGAAAATATATCCAATAAACCACTTATTAGCAATCTAAAATCTAAATAGCAAAAGATCAATCTAAAAACAACAGCCTACCATTATCGCCACAAATTATGGAAAATATGTTTAAAAAAAAACTTGGAGATGTTGAAAATATAAGAAACTTGGGGATGTTGAAAATATAAGGTTAAGTATTAAAAAAAGAAACAAGTGGGTCGTAGATGACATAATTTAATAAATTTTGGAAGAGCTAGACTCAAGTAAAACTGCTAGATTGGATTATCAAATAAAATCAATAGAAAATATAAAACTATATATTTAACTAATCAAAACTACGATGGTGAATATAGTTCAGTGATAATTAACACACATATATAATATTTAAGGTTGTGAGTTGATAAYCCATCCCCACATGTTTTACTAAAAAAAACTAATCAAAACTAGGACTTAAAATAGAATTATACGTCAAAAAAGATTTATTTAGAGATAATGAATATTTAGAATAAAAAAGATACAAAAATACAAAATCAAGATATTTTATTGTGAGTCCAACATGTTATATATCATGACATTTCTAACTAAATACCCACAAAAATGGGGAAGGAAGTAGACAATTTTTAAATAAATTTCTTTTATAAATACACAATCTTTTAACTTCAAAATTTTAGATGGAAATAGGACTCTAGTTATTTTTCTCGATTTGAAATTATAAAGGGTGTGTTTGGAAATGATTTTCACAGCCAAAATTAATTTTACCATTGTCAAAATCAGTTTCCTATCATATTTGGCAAATTAAAAAATTGATTTTAGAGAAAGATTAAAATCACTTTAAATTGATTTTTAAGTATCATTTGGAGAGTGATTTTAGAAAATCAATTATACTTAAATCATTTTTTTTAAATTACTAATTCTATCATCACTCCCAAACACATCCAAAGTATCAAATTAAAATCAATTATGTTGCTTATTTTTTAAATTTGAAGAAGGAAATAGGGTTCCATAAATTTTATAACTTTAAATTTGTAGTTACCATCTCCAATTAAGTTGCCTGCTTTTTTGTTGGTATCCTGGGAAAAAAACTTCCCAAAATTAAGCATCTATATAASTGTGTTAGGAGTAAATTTGTCCCCAATAAAATTTTGGTTTTTACGGAAAAAAAATCACTTACCCATTTTTATGATATTTAATGTCATTAGCTACAAATTTTCAATTAGCAAGCTCATAAAAAAGCTAACACGATACAAAAACACAACTCAAAGGAGTACATTAATACATTTGAGAGTCAAATATCGAGAAACTTTAGGACTCGTTTGGTAATATTTTCGTTTCTTGTTTCTCATTAACAATTTTTTTAAGAATGCACGATAAGGCATGAGTTTGAGTATCATCATTGTTTCTTCGTAGGAACGTCTCCGAATCTGATCAATTACTCTTCGCGCTTTGTGAGCCGACATACATATATGTTGACCTAAAGCGTATACTTCCGTATATCGATTCTTTTTTATTTTCTTTATCATAGGGTTTACCTCTTAGTAATGAATGATAGGTGGGCCTTCTTCGCCCTCCACCTAAGCTGCGCAGGAAAGGCCCAAAGCCAATCCCAGGGAATAGTGAAGCTCCAGGTGCAAGTAGTCCGCATCTTCACAGACATGTCTATTTCACCGAGCCTCTCTCTGAGACAGTGCCCAGATCGTTACGCCTTTCGTGCGGGTCGGAACTTACCCGACAAGGAATTTCGCTACCTTAGGACCGTTATAGTTACGACCGCCGTTCACCGGGGCTTCGGTCGCCGGCTCTAAGTATTTTTCAACTAACTTTGTTTCTTGTTTTTCATTTTTTGGGAACATTCTCACAATTGTATAGAAATTTTGGAAACCAAACTAGTTTCTCATTTTTTGTTTCCATTTCCAATTTGTTCCAAAACATAAATAAAAAGATTGTTTTATTATACTTAAATTCTTAGAGGTTGGAACCATGTAATACATTTTTCCTTTATTAACAATAAAGAAACAGAAACAAGAACGTTACCAAACGAACCATTAGTTACTGCAAAAAAAACAAGCAAACTAGTGGCTACATATATAACCACATAAGCAACCACTGAACCACATGTTTCATTTTTGTTTTTGGTTGAATTCTATGGCAGTCCCCATCTTTTACACTTATTCTGTTTTACTTTTAGAACTTTTTTTTGTTCACTTTGAACTTTCATGAAGAGCTTAATGTATATATGTATATAAAAAGTCTACTTTTCTTTTTTCTTTCTTTTCCCTCCTTTTTGATTCATAACTCCAAGTCTACTTAGTATTATATGACACTTCTGACAATTAGCCAGACCCAAAACAAATGTGAAGGTAGATAATTGAACCTTCAATCTTTAAGAAAGTAATGTCTCATTCTTAAGAAAGTAATATGTGTCTCATTCACCGACCCAAGAATACAAATTAGCACAAAACCCAATGTGAGGAATTTCATTTGAATCTTTATGTGATTTCCAATCAAATTCAGAAGTATCAACACTCTATTCTATTTTGAATCCCCTAGTATGTTTCCTGTCATTGAAATATACCGACTCGACTGTTCGTCTAGCACTCTATCTGCTTCCTGTAGGGATTACGCTTTACCACACCCGAAAAAGTACTCCACAATTCCTGGCTCGAAATAGTAACAATTATCTCCACTGATAAAATAGAAAACTTTGTTCATAATTAAGAAAGCAATACAAAATAAGATTCCTAGAACATTTAAATCTCACAGGGTGGTTTCTTTAAATTGATGTTTTTTCAAATTTGTTACACAACAAAATAATTTATAAATATGAAAAAATTCTATCGCTTTATCACCTTACCATTTCTGCATCAAATGATAAATCATATTACTAATATACCTAATAAAAATATACATATGATAAAGAATATATATCATTTCTGTATATCAAATATAATATACATCACAATAACAGGTTCTTACATCTGCACTATTTTTGCAAGACCAAACTTTGGAGGACGAGCTCTACATTGAATGTAATATAGGCACATAATCCAATTAAAATCAAGATCTCTTGGTATCAAAAAAAGAAAAAAAAAGCACAGAAGTTAAGACCTCAATATACAGTGATTACTTTTTGCCATCAATGGCATATAAAAAATTGGAAATACAAAAAAATACCTCTGTAGGATGAAATCTGCTTTTTCTACTCACATTTGGAAGGGTGTAAAACAGTAATGTCCTTGGTGGCTTTTTATAACTCTCAATTTAATGAAAGCTACCAAAAAATGAAATACACTAACTTCCCCTCTGGCTCTGGGAAGTGTAAGAAAGTTTCTAAGATGCCCTCCTCAGCACTACCATACTTAAAAGGAACAAAGATCTGAAAATGGAGTCGATGACCTTAAACCTGCCAAAGAACTTCCCATAGTCCATTGTAGACGACAAAAGCAAAGATGTTTCTTCCCATTTCATTATCCCTGCACTGATCTCACAAAAACGAGGTAAAAAGAGATGAATGAGTCTATAGAAATTCAAATCTAAAGAAGAGTAATGAAGTCAAAACTTATGGATGACTGAAAGAAGGTGATTTGAGGCATAGATGTACACGGTTAACGCATAGGATGATAGGAACATGAACATGAATACAATTCCACCATTATATTTTGAGTACACAAGAATAGTACACTAAAGCAAACAGGAAAAGCTTTTAAGATCTCTTTGTTATGCATGAATCTTGGGTGCCCTTAGGATAGACACCCAGATTCCTATATTTATTTTAAGTGTAGGAAATAAGTCCCAAGTTTATTTTACATGTGTAGTTCCCTACAGGCCAAATGATGTCCAAATGCATCACGATAGCACAAGTTCATGGTGAATAGTTTGAGGGGGTGGAATCATGGTTGTGAGTATGATGACCTAATGCCTAAGAATTTAGAGCTGAAAGAAGGCAGCGGTTGCGGGAAGATGGTCTCCCATTGTATTTTGGAGTCAAAGTACAAAGGAGGCATGACAAGGGCTTAGTTTCTGTTGTGAAAAAAAAAGGGTTGTGGCATACAATGTATGAACAAGGCATTGCAGGTCTTGCCGGTTGATGATAGAGATGAGCTAATTATGGAGGGGAATGAAATTTGGGAAGAACCACAAGAATCAGATGAAGGGGAGGTGGCCCAGATCCCATAATTGGGCGTAGGATTGATTTCACCCCACATCAAGAAGATGGGGTGATTGATTGCTATGATGTGATACTCCTCATCAGTTGCGGGGCTAAGCAATTTCATGTCTGCTGCGTTGGTGGCTAAGCTATGCATCTATACACCATAGAGACTACAAACTGGTAATAAGGGGGTATTATAAGGGAGCGAACTTGGAAGTGCCAGTATTGACAATCGTGGAAGAGATTTTTCCTTTGGCAGTGGGAAGTTCAGATGTCATTTTGGGCATGAAATGGTCATCCACGTTATGAAATGTAAGTGTTAATTAACTGGAAGAAGTTGATTATAAAATTTATCGAGAGCAACTGTCAGTGATTTTAAAAGGGGATTCGAGTTTCTTTGAACACACACAATGATCAAGGCTATTAGATAAGTGGTCCAAGAAACTTTGATGAATCTACTAGCTTCTGTGGGGGAACAACTTCGAGAGGAGCTCAACCTTGCTATCTATATCAGGACTAACTATCAAACCACCATTCCACCAGTTGCACGATCAAATCATAGTGTTGAAGGTAGAAATCTCCTCCACCCTTGTAAGGCCAACGGTATCCTCAATTTTAGAAAGATTTATTATTATTCTTTTTATAAGAGAGAAAATTCATTCAAAATGGACAAATCCAATGTAAAACCTAGAGGAAAAGCCGATAAGATGTCCCCTTTCCAAATGTACCGAAGAAACACCCTCCAAATATAGGTACTAGGTTAGTGCCTATTGGTCTTGCCTTCTGGCTTAATCAATGTTTCTGCCATCCGTGTGTAAAGTCCTACTTCGAAAACCCATTCTGTGCGTCCACCTTCATCTTTATCAGCATTGAGGTAGCATCAATTAAAGCAATTAAAAGAAGTGCAGTTTTGTTGAGATAAAGTGGGAGGTCATATTGCATCAGGCCAATGGGAGGCAATTGTTCCTAACAGGATTGATAATCATACAATGGTGAATTTGGCTTGATACCCCAAAACATAAAGGAATTGAAGGGTTTCCTATAATTGACGAGATGTATATAGTTTTAGGTTTGTAGCTTGATATGGAGAGATTGAATGCCAAGTGACCTAGCAATTGCACTGGGACTCTTTTAATTGGGACCAAAAACTTAGAACGAAAGAAATCTTAGAACCTTTGAAGGAAAGAAGCAGTCTCCCGCGGCTCGTCTTGACATCGCTAGATTTAAAGCTTCTCAATGGAGCTCTCTATCTCCTTTATTTAAATCTTATTCCCCTAGTCTGATTTGCTCGAATTGGAATGTTTTTATGGCAGTTTTTTAAGATTTTTGTTTCATTTCATTTTTCACTCTTTCGAGAGTTTGTATTCTTGAACATTTTGTTCCTTTTCATTATCTTAATGAGAAGTTCGTATCTTGTTCAAAAATTGGGACAAAAAACTACCACTGGTTTGATAAGTTGAAGCAGGCCATGACATCTTGTATGTCTTCCGTCCTTCGCAATTTCATGTTACCTTTTATATTGACACCAATACATTCAGAACATGATTGTGTGAAATCTTGTGTAGCATGGATACAGTCAACGCTCTTCCGTTACTTCTTGACACAAACCCATTACAAGTGGGCATTGAAGGTCCGTTAATGTTTCTAGCTAAGAAATGTCATCCCATCATTATCTGCTTTCGAGGTTT